GATAATTTTTACTTGAAGGCAAGTTTTCCTGTCTTGCATAAAAGTCAAACTTTCTAATTTGAAACCAATTTATTCAAAGAGTTATTTGCCAAATGTGCAGCATAAAACAGATTTTCTATTAGATATTCAAGTGCTGTTAAAGAATTTTATTACAAAAAAAGGATATGAAATGCTTAGAAGGGAAAAAAAAAATTATTTATGAGCTTTGCTAAAGAGAAAAAATTGGAATTAAAAGATAAGTTTATAAAAGTGTCTGAATCTTGAACTCGTTTCTCAATCACAATAGACAAATGGACTAGCTGTAATTTAAAAATATATTTAATTGCAACATTCTGATTGTTCTCATTCTCAACAGGATAGTAATTAATTTTTTTTTTCACAAAAGATTCATGGTTTAAACAAAGTTCAGTCATTACTTGAACAAAAAGTAACATTATTAAATTTTATTTATTGTCATCACCACAAAATGGAGCCAGCATTATGAAAAAATATACAAAATTAAATGGAATTAAAATTCAATCTAACATTAATCATCCCATTCATTTAATAAGTATAAAAAATAGACAGTATAGTTAAATTAGCCATTTCATAAAATTTCAGATTTTAAAAGTTCTGATTCTATAAGAAAACTGAAAAACAGTTTAATTTTTTTTACTCGATATTATAATTTAAGATGTTGTCAGTGCCAATAAAAAGTTTAAAAGATGCAAACATTTAAGTTTTATAAAACCTCATTGTTTGCATTGAAAGGTTATCATATTTTTTAAGAAATCTGACAAAATAACCTATTGCAACAATATGTTAAAGAGAAAGAGGGTAAAATTATATTAGACTGTAGAACCAGATGGAACTCATTTATACATATGATATAGAGATTAGTAACTTAAGTTTGCATAAAAAATGCATCGGAAGAAATAAGGTGTGAAGATATGTGCAATAAAAAATACTTTTTTATATTGCTAAATTTGATTCAAATCTTAAACCCAACAGAAGTGATAATAAATGAACTGAGCAAAGCTACTTTAACTTTATTCACTGCAGTAATGTCAGTTTTATACTTTTTAAAATAATTTGTTTTGTGTGCCTTCAAATATTTAGGCAATCCTATCAAGAAATTGAATAGGAAAATTGGTTTGCAATTGGTTAGGAAAATTAAGTTAAAGCTTCAATTTAAATGAATAAGTATGCAGCCCTTGAAATTAAGGAAAATTTTTCACTTAAACTTTTAGAGGTCAGCATCAGGTTAACAAAAATATTTTGACATAAAGGTATTACCATAAAACATAGAAACAAGGTTGGTGATTTTTTGCTGACCTTGAACACTTTTAGCTCGGCAGTTAGGTCGCTATTGCGGAATGACAACCCTAATTTCGAAAATTAGTGTTGCCACAATATATATGTATATTATAGCAACGCTAATTTTGCTTCATTTACTGAGTTACTAGTTTTTATTCTTTATTATGTTTTATTATGTTGTAAATAATTTCTGAACAATTCTGAAATTTAATATAACAAATAAGTGTTTTTTATTTCTTAATATTATAATTTGTTATAATATTATAAACCAGATTATATCAGAAAACCAGAAAAGTTTTTATTTATTTAATTTATATAATTCTTTATTATGTTGTGTGTAAGATTCTTTGCCCTACAGTAAAGTTCTTAGATTTTTTAATTTCAAGCCAAGTTGGACCATACATTATGTACTAATCTATTTAAAAGCTGGATTTTAAGTTGTTCTGTTTTCAAGACAAGTTAGTATTGTAAATATTAGCCACCTGGCATGATTAACTGGACCAACTTTATAATTACCCTATGTTGGATTTACAGCACCAAAATTTTCATAGTTATTTTTTCATTTTAAAGATAAATTGTTATAACAATAATGAATAAGAGTAAATTTTTGAAATTAAACCGCAGATTGTTTTTTTTATAACATTTATTTATTAAATTTGTGCTTAACTAAAAAACTAAAACTAAACTTATGCCACACACATATTCCAGCAAAAACCTTTGATCAGAACAAATCATTGATCAGAACAAATCATTGATCAGAACAAATCATTGATCGCACTCTGTTCTGAGATAACTAAGTAAATCAAAATAGGTTCCAATTCAGCAGTTAGTTTATTATGATGGTCTTGTGCTGCAGCTATTAAAAAATGTTGTTGCAATGTCTGTACTGCCATATAGTTAACTCATCGCTACGAAAAGCACAACCAATTTTAGGAATTGTTCTGTTAAGTTCTTTTTTTCCTTTCAAGAGTGACACAAAGCCCAGTTTTATACACAGTGTTGACATTTGTATTGTCAAAAGTATTTCCCAAGAAAGACTCGTCACTGTAATGTGTTAATGCTTCAAAAGCAGACTGTACTAAATAATACTTTGTACCATGTCTCTGTGTGTAAGATATCTTCCTTTCATTTCTCCTGATTCTGCTGTAAAACTTAGGTGATTAATCTTTTAAAACATTTTTCTGCTTAAATTATCAGATAATATGATAAACTAGACTTTTTACTAATGTATGATAAATGTTCAACAACAGACTGCAGGCAAACCCTTTCCATTTTATTTTTATTCTAAAATCCCTTTTTATCAGTTTTAGAAATGATTTCAAGATATTTTAACAGTTTATTACCAAAACTTGCAGCTCCACATGATATCTCTAAAAAATTACAATAAAATAAAAATTTTAAATAAGAACAAATAGTAATCAATTAATTAAGTTGTGCTTAAATCTAAATTCCTAAACATCAGTTTTGTCTTTTAAATATACTTTAACACTTTTTAATTAAAAGATTTCTAAAAGTAATATAAGTAATATGGGAGGTTATTACTATTAATATTAAATTATGTATTGTTTTTAATTATTAATTAATTTTAATTATTCCTTATACTCTGTTTTTTTTTTTCTTTTACAGTGAGGAAAAAATAATGAATCAATATGCAATATTATTATTTATGAAATAACAGATTTTTATTCACTATTCAATACATTGTTTTTAAGACATTTCTCTTAGATTTGATACACTTAAATTTATTGATTAGAAAGCAGTGGTTTAGATGTGCAGGCTTTAGAGCAAATTTTAGAGCAACTGGGAAATTTCTCGCAACATTTAGACACAATATTTAGACACAACATTTAGACACAACATTTAGACACAATATTTAGACACAATATTTAGACACAACATTTAGACACAACATTTAGACACAACATTTAGACACAACATTTAGACACAACATTTAGACACAACATTTAGACACAACATTTAGACACAACATTTAGACACAACATTTAGACACAAAAGATTTTGTTACTGTTCTTCATGTTTTGTAATTCACGAGTTAAAATCGGTTATTAATTTGACACCTTATTAATAGGGGTGAAATAAAACAGTCCAATTAATCTTTTTCTAATACATCAGTTATCTTATGTAATGTTATTGATTTCATGTTGCAGTCATCATCAAGATCTTCATCTATCTATAATAATTTAGTCACTATTCTCCTCTTACACAATTACTTAAAGATTTGTTGAATAGGGCGAAAGCAGCCTGTTCTTGATTCAGGTACCATAGATAATTTTTGAAAGTGTTATATCTGAAATTTGTTTATAAATTTTCTTTTAATTGGCTTATTATATTAATATTATTAATTATAATTTATATATAATATTAATATTATAATTGTAAATCCTGGTTTGGAGCAAATATTGTTTTTTGGGCACCCAATCATACTTTTGCATAGATATTGACAATAAGTAGGCAGAGATTGTGAAACCCTTTTCTCTTCAACTCTCTCAACTTAAATTGATCCCTAAAAAGATATATTTTAATCAAATATAGTGCTTTTGTCATCCATATTGCAATGTTATCTGAAGGGAAGTGTCTCAAAAATATTAATCAAAGTTTTTTATTAGTTCTTTGTAATCATCCCATTGAATGCTAAACTGTTAATTGCTCTAGTAGATAATTGACCATTTGATCAGGGTTGATCATTTTGTTCTCTGTAGCCTTTTTATCTATCTTTTAAATTATTTCTTATCTGAAGCCATTCTGCTTGAAATCATTTGAAATATCAGGTTGAGGGCCTGTTGTCTATCCCATCAAGCCATCAGAAATAGATTTTAATATTATTTCCAAAATATGGTGGCATGGAAGGTACAACATGGAAGGTAAAACAACTATTTTAAATTGTACCTGATGTTAAACCGAGACCTTTTTTTTTACAGTACCCCTAAACTGAAAAGATAATTTCTTTTCATTTAAAAAATCTGTTAATTCATAAATAATTTTTTACCCAATATAAAATCCCAATAAAACCGAACATTAGTAATAATTAAAACTAATTAATTATTCAAAATAATACATAATTAATTTAATATTAATTGATTAATTGTTATTACTCCTTATTGGTTGAAGGATTTAATTAGCCCTATTTTTTAGCACCTTAGCACCAAATTATGAATTAATTAATTTTAAGCAAGCACATTGCTTAAATTAAATCTTTCAAACAATATTTTAAAAAGATTTCAAATTGTTTTATTTATAAATTATTTATTATTATTTATTTATAAAGGTATTTTTACAACAGTATTTAAGTTCTTGTGCATTTTTGCGTGACAGAAAGTAAAGATTATGAAATTTAAAGGAATATATGTATATATATATATATATATATATATATATATATATATATATATATATATATATATATATATATATATATATATATATATATATTTATTTATTTATAATATTTAATGATATAATTTTTATTTATATTATTTAATTATTTAAGATTTTTTTATAAATAAAAATAAAAAAATAAAAATTTTTATTTTATAAGTGATGATTTTAAACAGCTAAGGTCCCTTTAATAAAATTTAGATCAGAATCATTAAAGTTTTAGTTAAGAAGAAAAAAAAGGCAAACTTTTTTGAAAGAAATACTTTCTATTAAATAGTGATAAGTTAATTTTTTATTTGATATTTTAGATGGTGCAAATTGATCAAATTTTAGTGGAGAATTCACAGATTACTGGTGCTCGTTTTATAGATAATTCTGGAGATACTTTTGGATTAACAGCTTTTGATTCTAACCAAGTATTAATTTATAGTGTGTAGTGATTGAATGAATGTATGATGATTAAATTTTTAATTTATTTGTAAATAGGAGAATATGAAAATAAAAAAAAAACTTCAAATTATATATATTACAATTTATTTATTGTTGAATATATTATAATTTATTTGCAGTTGCTAATATGATGCAATATACTTAATATATTAAAATTTGAATTTTATTGTAACTTGTTTTTTGTAGATTATATTTATTGCAAATATGTATCTTTTTTTTATAAAAATAGAATAAACCATACTGTATAAAATAAAATACAAACAAAAAAGTTAAATGAACATAGCTTATATGCATTATACAAATTATGCATATACATATATATACATACACACACACACATATATATATATATATATATATATATATATATATATATATATATATATATATATATATATATATATATATATATATATATATATATATATATATATATATATATATATATATATATATATATATATATATATATATATATTATGGCTCTTAAATGATACAAAAATAAAATTAGTTGTTAGCATATGGCAGTTAACACATAACTGGTACATACAGTATTGGACAAAACATTTGGAACCAGCATCGAACAATGCTAAAAAGTGTTCCTAATTTTACATGTTTTAAAAATGAAACAAACTATACTACCATAGCAAACAGGTCAGAAGTCTGGAGTCATAGCATGCCATGACTTGAGCAATCAGCTGATAGTTGACAGCACTCAGGCAGAATTTTGTTGACAAAATCCATTTTGTAGTGTACAAAACAAGTGCAACTTTTTTGGTTTGTTTCATTTTCTTAAGTCTGGTCCGTGTCAATGTCACGGAAGTTTTTTAATAATTAAAGGAAATATCCAGACGTTGTGTTTCACAGAGCATTGTTGTATCATCACAAGGTAAATGTAACAGGGTAAGCCTTGAAAAGCGTTATTATTTATTTTTATTATTTTTATGACTTCAAGTGCAAAAATGGCTGCCGACAGTCTTGGATTGGAACTAAGAAAGAAAATTATTGGCGATTACGTAAGTGGAATGTCACAAAAAAGTATTTGCGTTCTACCACTTCTAGAGAGGATTCTATGATCGTCAGATCTGTCAAGAAGGATCCCTGGATATCATCAGTCGAGATACAAAAGCAATTAGAGCTGCCTGTATCAGACCGAACAATCAGACGACATGCTGTTGAAGCCGGATTGTTTTCTTGACACCCTGCAAAAAAAACCCGTTGATTTGACTAAAGAACCAGAAGAAAAGACTCCTGTTTGCTACATCTCATATTGACTGGGATGTGCAAAAATGGCGAACTGTCCTGTTTAGTGATGAATCGAAGTTCAACATCATTGGAGCGATGGCATTTGCCGTGTATGTCGACCGGGCGGAAAACTCCTTAATTTACGTTACTGCCATAAGACAGTGAAGCATGGTGGAGGCAATGTAATGGTCTGGGGGTGTTTTTCTGCTAATGGTCTAGGTCCAATACATCGAATTGATGGAATAATGGACCGTTTCATTTATAAAAATATCCTGAAAGATGTTGTTACCTCATGCTGAATGAAATACGCCAATAAAATGGGTTTTTCAGCGTAGTCAAGCAGTGGTTTTAAGACAACCATCTATCGGTGATGGATTGGCCGCCTCAATCTCCGGATCCCAACCCTATCGAGAACCTGTGGGAGATCGTCAACTGCAGAATTAATCGTGAAGATGCTCGTAAAAAGGATCAACTGTTTGAACAAATCCAAAAGGCCTGGACAGCGATTCCACAAAGTTTCATTGATTACCTGATCGAATCTACGCCTCAAAGATGCAAGGCTGTGATCGACAACAAAAGATTCGCCATGAAATATTGATAGCGAAATACAGCTTGGTCAACATTTTGTGGAGTTGCACTTGTTTTTTCCAGAAGGAAGTTAATTTTTTTTATTACTTTTGATTAATCTTTTAATTTTCGTGTACAAATAATGAACTTTTCTATGAATAAAACTTGAAGAATGTTGCCTCTAAACAGTTACATAGTTATTTCTCTAAATTGAAAAAATGCAGCACTTTTATATAAAGAAACTAAATTAGCATTATTTGGTTGCACTTGTTTTGTCCGATACTGTATGTCATTTAACACAATTAATCTATGATAACATGAAAAAAATAAAAATTAACTTATAACATGTTAAAATTGGTGGTTAAGATATAACAGATAACAACTAATGATACATGAGAATTACTGTCAAGAAATGTCTCAAAAAGCACCATGAGGTTTAGAGATAAGGCTTTTTCATTTTTTATTTAGTAATAGAGTGCTTGCTTTGCAAGCAAGAGATATTTAGTTTCAATATAACACAATCTCAGAATACCAGTTTTAAGTTGTTACTTGTGAAACAGTCTTGTTTGTCATGTTTTAAATTGTTACTTTAGCAACAGTCTTGTTTGTCATGTTTTAAATTGTTACTTTAGCAACAGTAGGATTGAGAGAGGGTATAAAAATAAATAAAAAATACTTTAAAAAAAAGCTAATAAATCTGTTAGTATGTATCAGCATCATAGTACTTTTTACTTTTACTTACCTTTTACTTCTGTAATTTTCAGTGGGTGCTCTAACAGTCTGACAGTAATATTAAGGATACAGTGCTTTGAATTTTCAGTGGGTATTCTAATTGTCTAACAGTAAATTAAGAATACATTTAGTGCTTTGAATTTTCAGTGGATACTCTAATAGTCTAACAGTAATATTAAGGATACATACAGTACTTTGAACTATAAAAAAAATTGATTGTTGTAAAAATAAAAAACTAATTTTAAGCTCATAGTTTTAACTAAAAATATGCCAATAATGTATATGAAAATTTTTTCTTTTCCTTATACACTAAAAAATTACCTTAGACAACTTTTTCATATAACAGTTCTGTTAACTGTTATATAAAAAAGCTTTTTCATACTTTTTTATATAACACATGTAAACTTTATACAACAGTTTGTACACATTTTTTTTTTTTAATTTGCTATAACTGTTAGCATTTAATGTTTGACAGTTGAGATATAATATTTTATATTAGCTGTTTATAACAGAACAGTTTTATTAGTACACAATTGAAATATATTTTTTTATAATTATAAATAGATTAAACATATAAAAATGTCTAAGAAATATTGTCAGCAATGTCCTGTTTGTAATGAATTTACAGATAATCTTATTATTCATGTCAATAGTCACTTTGAAAAAGAAACCTTTGATAATAAATCACAAGTTTTGAGGAATAAAAGTGAATTACCAATTATTTCAGAAAATAATGTATTGACCATTTTGAAATGTACAGATAAACAATCACTTATTTCAAAGAATAAAAATAAAGGTTCAGATGAAGAGCAAAGGCAAAAAGGTAATACATATTTAAATGCAAAAGAATTTTAACTTTAGAAATTCTTTAAATTTTTTTAGGCGTTTTTTATTTTATAATTTATTGGTATTGGTAACAGTTAGTTTATATTTAAATTTTGATGAATATCTGAATTCAAATGTAAACAATTTAGTATAAGTAAAAAAAAAATAAATAATAATAACTTATAGTATATCAAACAATTTAGAATGATTAGCTTTGCTATGCCAACCTGTTTTTCAGTTATGACCAGCAGAGAAGTATTGGCAAAGTTGATCATACTTTTCTTTCGATAATTCTGTATTTCTCTTAGCAATGACTATTTTATTCTTTACCAATTTCTTGACCGTGTTTATTAGTTATGACTATTAATCAAATAGAAAAAAAAAAATTCAAAAGGTTATGTAATATTTGTCATGTTTTAGAAATTTTATAACAATTTACAATTTTTATCTGGTTCTTATAAACTACTATTTTTAGCACTGGAAGCTGATTTATTTAAGAGAAGTAGCTGAAGAAGTAGTGAGTTCCTTTTATAGTGGTAGAGGTTGTGATCTCTTATTGTAGAAGTAGAAAAATTGGTAAAAACAGTGAACTCTTTTTATAATGAAGTAGTTGTAGTAGTGTATTTGCAGTGACTAGTGAAGTAAGTTTATAGTGTGACTAATGAATTTAGTTTATAGTGTGACTAGTGATGTAAGTTTATAGTGTGACTAGTGAAATGAGTTTATAAGTGTGACTAGTGAAGTAGGTTTATAAGTGTGACTAGTGAAATAAATTTATAGTGTGACTAGTGAGTTAGTTTATAGTGTACCTTGTGAAATAAGTTTATAGTGTGACTAGTGAAGTTAGCTTATAATGTGACTAGTGAAGTAGGTTTATAAGTGTGACTAGTGAAGTTAGTTTTTAGTGTGACTAGTAGGGTGTCCCAAAACACTCATGAATATTTTTTTTTATATATTGCTGATGCAGTCCCTCCTAAAAGTTTCTTCATGGTCCCATTATAACACCTAATTTTTTTAAAATCCTTTAAATAATATTTAGGAGTCCCAAGGGTCACAAAGTTATAGAATATCAGAGTAAATTCAGTGTTCAGTGTCTCCAATTTGGACAAATTTGAATAATATTTTAGCGATCAGTCTTTGATCCTATGATATTTTGTTTATCAAATCTAAACAGTTTTTTATTTGTAGAATCTAGAAATATATATCTTTTGTGTACATGGAAAATTGTTTTCAAAAACAAATAATGCCAAAGTCAAACAAAATCATGAGTTTTTAACTTCTACTGTCTGACTAGGTACTAGGTATATTTTATGATACCTACTAATAAATTTGCATATAGAAAATATATTGGCATCAGTTCTTAGTAGTAAAATGTTTTAATTTTAACCCAAATATAATTCTATAGTCTTGTTTATATGTCCAGAAGGTTGTCATAATTGCACTTTGAAAAGTCATGTCTGCGCTTCCCAGCAATTAGCAAAAGATATTTTTTTGTTGTTCATATTTTGCTATAGTGGCATTGAAATTCTTTATGAGGGCAACACCATGTTTGGCACAATCATTGACACAGGCCAAGTTTTTTTATCTGTTTACATGCGATCTGATAAGGTTGGCTTTTATTCCATTCTTCTACAGGTAAGACAAGAAAACTGTCGTCAATCGCAGTAGTTTTGAAGAAACTTCTAGAAATGGTTAATTCCGATATTAAATGAGGAAGTGACTTTACCAAATGCAATCCTCGATTGTCTTTTGATTTCTGGTACAAGCTTTGCTTTCTCTTCACAGGATAAATGTTGAGAAAACAGAGAGAGTGTTGCAAGCTCTTGGCTTAAGTACCAAGAATGCTTGACCATCATCTTCAGACCTGCTGTCTGCAACCAAGATTGTCTTAATCATGAAGCCTATGGATCAGAAGAATATCATTGAATGCATCAGCAACCATTTGACATGAAAACTAAGGCTGAAGATATTTTGACTACAAATCTGTTGAATCGTTGTATTCCTTGCAATTCTTGAGCTGTTAGCTTTATTACAGATTCATTACCATCAAAGAGCAATTTGATCTCCATTTTGTAGGTTGCCTTTACCATCCAACGTACTCTATGATGGGCAACAGGTTTTTGAATTCGAATAGCTACTACAGTAGAATTGTTTAAACCAATCATGGAAGCCGCAAGTTGAAAAAATTTTTTCTTTGTAGTTGTCTTGAGGATAGCCGAGTTTAAGTTGCTCAGCAATGAGTTCCTTTAATTTGTCACATGTAGAGATCAGTGGTGTTGGCTTTAGTTGACAGTGAAATAGTTTGGGTTAGTTTTCTTTAAATTTTTTAAATATCAAAATCTCCAGTCCAGTAGATGGACCAAGGCACACTCCATATGTATTTGACACCAGCACCTCGGACATGTAATGGTAACAAGCCAACCATAGCAAGTTTTGGTCAATGGCTGAATAATTGATTATGCCCATTAAGTCAACCTGTATTTGAGACTGTTGTATCAAAGCACATTCCGATCACTAGTGAATCTGTCTGCCACGATTCAAAAGTTCCAAAACTGCCTCCATTGCTGCCTTTCCTGACCCAGAAGACAACTTTGGCACACCCAGAAGTTTGATGTTTTTGTGAATGGTACTTTTTGAATTAACTGTGGAAGATGTTGAGCCGCCTATTTGATTGACCAGAAATGCCAGGATTGTTGTTGATGTCCTAATGCTTGTGTTTATCCTGTCCAATATTGCTGATACTTTGGGAGTCAGCACAAAGGATTTAGGCTTTTCATTGCTACTTGTTTTGAAGTTTTAGGCTTGATTGTTTTAGACTTAATTCATTAACAGATTCTTGTTGCTCTTCATCAGAGGAACACTTGACTGGCCTGACTGGCCTGACTGAATTGATTTGGCTGATCCCATTATATTGACATTATCATCATCACATTCTTCAGCTGCATTTAGAAACTGCTGACCAGATAAAGCTGCTGTTTGCTTGAGTAATCATGCTCTGCACTCAGCTGATTGTTTTTCACAGTGAAAATTTTTTTTGTTAACAGACCCAATGCATCCGATTCTTGACTCTTGCTGCAATTTGAGAAACTAGTGGTCTTCTTCATTCTTTATTAATTCATTCGAATTAGCATTTTAGTTGAGGTGGATTTTGCCATTACTCAGGAAATAATCAGTATTATTCAGTGATCTGTTATTTATATATATATATTATATATTATTATATAACTATATTATAAATTGTCTTATTAGACAACATACAATGTCATACATGTGTGACTTCTTTTGTGAGCACTGAGTTTACTTGATCAGAAAAATAAAAATTATACAGACCTAATAGGCTGATAATATTGATTGTCGCTAGCTACTTTCTGAGATTTGCACAACCCTAGTGAATTGATACTGTCTTTTCATCAACAAAACTAGTAATAATCTATTAATACACTGAAAAATCTATTATTTAACTTACATTATTTAACTTTAACAAGTTTGTCCATTAAGGATAGTGGGTAATTATAGTTATTATAGGATTTTGAAAAATTAATAAACAAATTTTTCGCATTTCAAAGAAAATGTTTTCTGCCAACAGCAGACACCATACATGCCACATGACCAACAAAAAATATTCTAGAAATGATATAGCCTTTAATATTATATACCTGCTCTTCACTTTTATTATTAACAGAACTCATTACCCATTAAATTCAAAATCCACCTCAAGAATTTTCTAGATTTGATAAACAGATTATCATAGGATCAAAGACTGATCTCTAAAAGTTTATCCGAATTTGTCCAAATTGGAAACATAGAACACAATTTATTCTGATATTCTAGAACTTCATGACCCTTAAGGAACCCCTAAATATTATTTAAATGATCTATGAAAAATTAGGTGTTATAATTTAAAAGAAACTTTTAGGAGAGACTGCATCAGCAATTTAAAATTATTTTTTTTGGAATATCCTAGTGACTAGTGAAGTAAGTTTATAGTGTGACTAGTGAAGTAAGTTTGTAAGTGTGGCTATTGAAATAAGTTTATAAGTGTGACTAATGAAATAAATTTATAGTGTGACTATTGAAATAAATTTATAGTGTGACTAGTGAGTTAGTTTATAGTGTACCTTGTGAAGTAAGTTTATAGTGTGATTAGTGAAGTAAGTTTATAAGTGTGACTATTGAAATAAGTTTATAAGTGTGACTAGTGAAGTAACTTTGTTTCTATGCTTTATGGTAACCCCTTTGTGTCAAGTTTTTTGCTGACCTTAAACAGTTTAATGTTGGCAATTTATTTCCAATCTCATTTTTTTTAATTCAGAAGGCTTCTATAAGTTTTAAGTTTTAATTAGTTAAAAGAGTTTATAGTTTTTTTTTTACTTTTATTTTAAATAAAAATTTTAATAAAATTTTTTATTTGTATATTAACTTTTAATTTAAATGAATGAAATATTGGCTTTATGTGGAAATAATGAAATAATGGTTTTATGTGGAAAATTTATTCTTTATAACTAATAGAAGAAGTAAAAAACTGATTTTTTTTTCAAACTCAAGAAAGCTCTAAACCTCCCTGGTCTGTCCTTGGATGTTGTTAAAGGTTGACTACATTTTTTATTATTTGGATGTTGAGAGGTTGACTACGTTTTTTATTATTTCTATTATTACTTAATTGCAAATCAGATTTTCTGAGCGCTTCAGTTTAAACTGCAATAATGGTTTAATATTTTGATCATTTCATTTTCATTGTTTTGCGGTCGTTTCTGAACAGATGTCAAAACTAAACAACCAACAAATCAAAGAAATGGAAAACATTTTTACCACCTCTTTGTATGTATATAATATAAAGAAAAAAATTTAAATTTTTTATGTATTTATAAAATAATATAATTTTTAATAATAAATGTTTAATTTTTTAAATCATGTTTAGTTAAATATTATCTGAAAGATAGATAACTCTTTTGCAAAAGAATTCTGATATGTAATTAATAAAAATATGTAGTTAATAAATATATGCAATTAATAAAAATATGTAATTAATATATGTAATTAATAAAAATATGTAATTAATAAAAGATATGTATGATAGATGTGAAGATATGTAATTAATAAAAAGCTACCAAAACAAAACAAAACAAAAATCAATTTTAAAATTGCAACTTTATTATTCAAATTTTTATTTAAAGAATTGTAATAACCCTTTAAAATTTATATTATACTAAAGCGCTCTGGTACATATGCTTAAAATTTATATTTATATGTTTGATGGCTCATACATTATTTGCTCAATGTTTCTTTCATTAATCATAATAAGTTAAAATGTCTATTTTAAAATTATTTGATTATAGATTTTATTTTGGTGCTAAATTAAGAAAGTCACTTAGTAAAAAGTATATTTATAGATAGATTGTATACTTTATTTATGTAAAACTTATAAAAATGTTTTTTAATTTTATAAAAATATAATTCATTTTTATTTTTAGTAAATATGTTAAACATATAAATATGTTATATTATATTAATATTAAATATATTAATATTAACATATTTTTTATATAAGTTTATATTTTGTATATTATTTTTAAATGGTTGATTAATGATCACAATGTTTATTAATAAAAACTTATTTAAATTTGTTTGTTGTTTTTTTTTCTTAATTTAATCTTAAAACATTGTACTTTGTACTTTTTTTTTTAATTTAATCTTAAAACATTGTACTTTGTCTTTTTTTTTTAATTTAATATTAAAACATTGTACTTTGTCTTTTTTTTTTAATTTAATATTAAAACATTGTACTTTGTCCTTTTTTTTTAATTTAATCTTAAAACATTGTACTTTATCCTTTTTTTTTCAATAAAATCTTATGATATTGTAACTTGTATTTTTTTGTCAATTAAATCTTATGACATTGTAATTTTACTTTTTTCAGCCCAAACTGCACAAAAAGATTTGTTAATACCACAAAGTATTGAAGACACTTTGTTGGCAGCCCAAACTGCTCAAGAAGATTTTTTGCTAGCCCAAGCTCTTCAAGAAGAAGAAAAAAATGATATACTCAACAAATGTGATAGCGATTTTTTGATTGCTTTGAACTTACAAAATCATGAAGATACAGTGCATGAAAAAACAACTTTAGAAGCAGAAAGTGCTTCAATATTCAACAAATATAAAAATGACTTTCTATTAGCTTCAGAACTTCAAAGTTATGAAAATATTGTCAACGAAAAGGAAGATTTCAAAAAGCTACAGGTTTGAAAACTTGATTTATGCTGTGAATAAAATTAAATATGGAAAATTCATTAAGTTATCTTTTTTCTTTCTTTTTAAAACTTTTAATGTAGTTGTCATCATTGATTTTCTTTGCCGTTATTTTGAGGTTATTATTTGATTCTTAAGTTTTTCTACTCTTTTATTACTTTTTATTTTACTTATTAATTTACTATACTTATTCTATTTCTTACTTTTTCTCAAATAGTTAAAAATTAGCTTATTGAAAATTGTTTACCTATTTTTGTATAAATTTAGGCAATGTATGGAATGAATTCATCAAGTGGTTTTATGAAACAATTTGATGCTCGAGTTAGAAAAGATGTGGGAAAGTATATAACAGTTTCTGATTACTACAAAAAGAAATCTGATATGTTGTCATCACTTATGGAGGGCAAAGATAATTTAGAAACATCAACTAAAGGTTTTGTTTTTTGATTTTATATAGCGTATATCTTATGTATAATGAAAAAAGGTAAAAATTTAAATTTATATAAACAATTTAAATTTATATAAACAATTTAAATATCAATTTTCTTGTATTTTCAACAATGATGTCAAGCAAATGATGATTTGATTTATTGATTGATGTCAAGCAAATAATGACTTGATTTAACCAAATACATGAAAACAATTTGATGACATTGATTTAGGTACTAAATTTTTTGTGTGTAAAACTTTAACCTTATCAATTCTTTTAGTGGTTGAATTATATTTTAGAATTTGATGAAAAAATTTTGTATATGCTCAACTTAGCATTACCTCTAAATTTAACATTACCTCTAGATTTTTGAAATCAGTCAACAGATTTCAGATTTTTGAAATCAGTCAACAGATTTCAGATTTTTGAAATCAGTCAACAGATTTCAGAAATTTGAAATCAGTCAACAGATTTCAGAATTTTGAAATCAGTCAACTGATTTCAGATTTTTGAAATCAGTCAGCATTCAGTGCAATAAGCAAATTCAATGTTTGAATAGTTTCATTACATAATTCAATATTTTCTTTTTTGGTCTTTGTATAAAAAGTTAGTTAAATTGGAAACATTGGTTATCCTTTTCTCATTTTTGCAAATTTTGACATCCAGTGTTGCAAATAGATAAATTTTTTTTATTTAAGAACAAGTAAAAATTGTAATGTAAAATTAAACACAATACAAAAGTAAAGATACTTTATGCCTTTTAAAAAATATTTGTAGGAATTATTGATGCCTTAAAGAATCAATATATGTATGGAGTAGTTGGAGTAAAAACATTTAAACTTTGTTGTAATGTAACACATTTTGGTATAAGTATTGCTGACAGAGGATGGGGTTGCGGATATCGAAACATCCAAATGTTAATATCTTCATTATTTGAACATGATCAATATAAGTTGAAAGAAACCATGCCTGATATTCCATCAATTCCAAAGATACAGGCTCTTATCGAAAAAGCTTGGAGTGAAGGTACTAGTTGTTTAATATTATAAGCATATTGTTTTGGATAATTCTAATTACTGTAAGTTTGCTATATTTTTTTGATGGTAAATTTTTTGGTTGTTGAAGCAATTTTTTTGGTCAAACTTTGATTTGAATTTATTT